GTGGCATTATTTGCTTTAAAGGATTTGTTTAAACATAACAAGGAAATTCCTGATAATGAGTACTACTGAAAGTGAGTTCTTTCAGTTGTATACTGAAAAAAGAATGAGTGGCAAGGAGAAATTCAGCATCTGCTTTTCTAAAAGACTATAAATATAACAGAAACTTGTAAGTCTCATTAAATCTCTGTGAAATTCATGTCTCACTAAATCTCTATGTAGAATCCCTTAAATACATAAAGTATTAGTAAAATGACTTTTTTACAAGTATGATTTCTATTTTTAAGTTTTAAAAGCAAATAATAAGTGAACAGTATTTCAATGGGCAACACAACATCAGGTACTGTTACAACATAAAATTCATAAAAATAAGAACTGTGGCAATAATAAATGATGATCTCTTTCAAACAAGTCTCCTCCCCTTCCAGGGTTCTTTCAAATTTAAAAGTAATCATGATGTACAAAAACAAATCTTAAATTTGTATAGTAGTAAGACTATATCAGCAATCGCCAAGACATCGCAGTAGCTTAATGTATCATTTCACTCAAAATCATCTGACCCTTATAGATAAGACTATCACTTAGCAACTTGTTCATGCAGAACATTGTGCTAGTAAGGAAAATAATAGCGACACTCTGCTTTCCAATAATTTATTATCTAATTGAATACATAAAAGGATAAATTAAACAAAAAAAATTGAAGTAGCTGAGGATAGTTGTATAATGACCCATCTCCAAGACCTCTTAATGACATGATAAAAAAGAAAGGCGGGGCCTTGTGGTGGTGTACAGGGCTGGATCTCTGCACTGAGGGACTATCTGCAGACCTGTGGCTCAATTCAGTCCATAGGAGCTGGCCGGCATGGTACAGCAGACCTCTCCTGTCTAAGCCACTGGCCCGTCAGCAGTGAGTTTTGGTCCATCTACCTGTTCTGCTACCCACTGTCTCTGATGGGTTCTTTCACTACCTCCCCGCCCCCACACACACTGGCTTGTGCCCCAGTTCTTGTATGCATGGAAAAATGAATCTTTAGAAAGAAAAAAAAGGAAAAGGAATTCCTACACCAAATCAAAATAGCCCTGAGAGTAACTTATAAACAAAGAATTCCAGAATAATTACGTAAAAAGAAAAATTGCCAAGCCACAGTGTGAGAGCTCTCTGCCACCCCCCACCCCCCCTTCCAACTGCTTCTACTGGTAAGGATTCCTCCCATCTCTGCTGCAGCCTTCTCCCCCATGTTTTGGTCAATGGTCCTTACTCTGGCTTATCAAGATGAATCACAATCAATTTCCATCTTCCAAAAATTTCATCAAAATTAGGTCTACAAATAGGCAAAGTCCTCTTAGATAAGACACCAAAGCACAAGCAAACAAAAGAAGAAAAAATAAATAAATTGTATTTTATCAAAATTAAAACTATGTGTTTTAAGTAACACCACTAAAAAACTTAAAAGACAACCCACAAAATGGGGGGAAATGTTTGCAAAGCAAGTATATAATAAGAGACTGTATCTAAAATATATGAAAGACTCAGCTCAATAATAAAAAGGTGAAATACATAAAGGATCTAAGTAGACATTTCTCCAAAGAAGCTATACAATAACCGAGTACATTAAAAGATGGTTGATAACATTAGCCATTCAGAAAATATAAGTCAAAGTCAATATGAGATACAATTTCATACCTACTAGGATGGCTATAACCAAAAATATAGAGAACAACAAGTATTACAGAGGATGTGAGAAAATCAGGACCCTCATAAATTGCTCGTGAGACTGTAAAGTATTTTGTTATAGTTTGGCAGTTCCTCAAAATGTTAATACAGATGCAGCCATTCCACTCTTAAGTCTATAGTCCATAAAATACAAACATATGTCTACACATAAACTTTTCACACACAAATGAATATATACAATAGCATTATTCATGACAACCAAAAGTAGAAACAACTCAAATGTCCATCAGCTGATGAATGGATAAAGTGTGATATCCATACAGTCAACATTATTCAGCAATGAAAAGGAATGAAATAAAGCATCATGCTACAACATGGACAAATCTTGAAAACAAATTTTTAAATTAAAAAAATCAGTCGCAAAAATCATATAGTGTATGATTCTGTTTATATGAAATGCTCAGAATGGGAAAATCTATAGTGGCAGAAAGGAAGTTAATAGTTTTCTAGGGCTAGAGCATTTAAAGAAAATGGGGAGTGGCTATTCCCCCCCAAAAGAACAGGATTTCTTTAGAGGAGGTGGATGAGACATTCTAAAATTAATTGTAAAAATGATTGCACAACTCTGTCAATATACTAAAAATCACCCAGTTGTACTTTTTAATTGGGTAAATTATATGCATGTGAATTATACCTCAATAACTGATTTTGGGGGTAAAATTTAATGCATAGAACATTTTATTTTCTTGGTGTCACCATGGATTTATCCCTGTTGGAAAATTTCCCTCCCACCTAAATGAGATTTGAGGAAGGTAATAAATGTGCTTGCTCACTACATCCTTTTGATCCAGAAGTTCCAAGAGGATTATTTTTAAAGATAATTGTCCTAGAATATGTAGGGCATCCCTAGAATATGAAGGGATAGGATTAAATACATCACAGAGGAGATATGCTTGAATTCATCCAAACAGGAAAAAATGAAAACAACCTAGATCATGGTTGGCTTGTCATTTATCTAAGAACTAAAGCAACTTAATGAGAGAATGTGTCCTCCTGGTGCTGTGCTTCATTCTTCTGGGGGGTAAGACATGGTATTAAGGTAGTTTTTGTAAAAATATGAAATAAAGAGTAAAATCACACTTCTGGGTATTTACCCAACAAATATGGAAAGGCTAATTTTAAAAGATATATGCACTCCTCTTTTCACTGCAGCCGAGATGTGCTACAATGTGAGTGCTTAACAATAAAGGATGGTTGGAGTTTTAAAAATGTGATACATGTAAATAATGGAATATTACTCAGGCATAAAAAAGATGAAATTTTGCCATTTGCAACAACACAGATGTATCCTGACGGGAAATGATAAATGCAATAAGTCAGAAGGAGAAAAACAAATACATTATGACTTTACTCATTTAGGGGTTATAACCAAAGAAAAAAAATTAGCAAAGGAACAAGCCTTAGACTCTAACAACAAAATAGCCAGAGGGGAAGAAGGAGGAAAGGCATGGCTAGAGGGGGCCAAATGATTGGTAACAGATGGTGACTGGACATTTGGTGGTAGGTATAGTGTAATAGGGCTTAGAGAATTACAACCTTCTAAGGTAGTCCATTCCCTAATTGTACAGCAATTTTACCAAGAAAGATTTGCTTGCATTGAGGCAAATTCAGCTTTTCTGTAATATTCACATACTTTTGTCTAGAGATATTTTGAGCTCTAACCTAAACAACGTTTAAGATCTTCATCACACAGCAATCTTCTTAAAGGCAATTAAACATTTTTCAACATATATTCTTTAGGTTAAATATCAAAGGTATCTTTAATGGCCCCTTATGTGACAAGATTTTAAAAAGCTCATTATAATATTGGATATTCTTAAACTTTGTTGTAGCCAAGCCAAATTTATTCCACATATTGTCAAAAAATTAACTACACTGTAAAACAATGGTATGGCTTAAAAATAATAATAAAAGGAATCAAATGAATGTATGTATGTGAGAGTATTTTTACACTTTTTTATTTTGTAAGAATAAAATATTGTAAGAACTTATCTGCTCTCTGGAAAGTAATTTGGCAAACATGGTAAATTCTTAAAACTCAGAATGTGGTATAAGGAGCATCAGGAATCCCTGGAAGTTTGTTAAAAAAATGAAAACTCTCATGTCCACCCAGAGCTACTAAATCCATAGTTTCATTTTCAAGAATATGCCCAATTATTTCACACATAATTTAAAGTTTGAGGAGCACTGTAGATTTATAAATGTAAACACACTGTCACTCAGTGATTCCTTTTTTAGGTATTTATCCTGAGTGTATGATTAAATAGGGAAAAGATACACATTATAAAGTATTCATCACAGCATTTTCATTATAGCAAAAACTCAGAAAGAACTTAGAAAATTGTGGGGTGTGTTGCAGTTCATGTATGGATACAGCCATACTCCCTTGTGAGTACTTGGATATATAAGTTCCATTTGCCAGTCAGGGCTGTCTGAGGAGCAAGCTTCTCAGCTGGTTCTGGTGCCAAGAAGATGCCCACTCTCAAGTTGAGGGTTGCTGTTGGGAAAACAGGTGTCTTTTCATTTTCTCACAAAAGGGCACTAATATGTCTAATTCAGTTATCTCCTAGGGGAGCACAAGACCATCTGCCCAAGGGTTCAGACATTTTTCAGGGTTTCTGTCAACATATCTGGGTGTTTTGTTTTCTCTGTATAATCGTCAGAAATAATTATTGCTTACAGGGCTTCTATTGAGATCATAATTCACTAAAGAAGGAAATGAAGATATAATTGGAGAACTGCTCACAGGCTAATTCCAAAATGTGTGACCCAAATGTCAATTAGGAGGTTTATCTTTTTTCACTTATGTATTTATTTATGTATATATGTACCTATTTATGTAAGCTGTAATTGATATGTACACACACACACACACACACACACACACTATAAGGATATTATATACGTTATATTTTATACCCGGAAGGGCATACCAAAATGTCAATAGCATTGCAGTCATCTCTTAGGGTAGGGCTCGGGGTAATTTTAACACCTTTTTACTTATTCATATTTGCTAATGAGCTTTGGTTGTATTCATTATGACACATATTTTTAACTTTCTGTATTAGGTATGTGTAAGTGTATAATGTTTGCACTGCAAAGACATTCCATCGTTCCTCTGGACCTCAGTGTATGAGCCTCTTCCTTAGGTTCAGGACGGTTCACAAAGTCCTTAGAGTTTGGGCTGGCAGAAGGTTGAAGGAGAAGCTCCTCCCATTTCTCACAACCTCCTCCAACTCTTAAAATGCTTCTGACTTCCTCCCAGCTCACAACCAACAGAGAAAATTATTCTGCCAAACAGACAGCACCAAAGGCAAAAATCAAAGGTAAGGATGGTGTCTGGGGAAAAGCTGGCAAGAGAACACTTGGCATGCTAAAGAAGGGAACTGGAGCTGTAGCTCCTACTCCCAGTACTCTGTTACTTAATCCTTTGGCTTTGTGAAATGGACTGCTTTTAAATGTTAAAAGAAGACACTGTAAACAAGGTTTGCAGCAAAGAGAGACCACTTGGCTTCTCTCAAGAGGAAGAGAAGATTGGGATTTGATTAGTGAGGCATTTTATTCAATTAGTGCTGCTTATTAAATTACTCTTGGCACAATGTTTAAACATGATGACCAGACTACTCCATAACGAGTCTCATACCTATTGCCCCTGTGAAGTAACACAGATTAATCCACTCCCTAACAGGGCACCATGACGAAGAAGGTGGCCGTGATTGGAGCGGGGGTCAGTGGCCTGATCTCTCTGAAGTGCTGTGTGGATGAGGGCCTGGAGCCCACTTGCTTTGAAAGAACTGAAGATATTGGAGGGCTGTGGAGGTTCAAAGTAAGTGAACTCTTCTCTCTCAAGCAGGTTGTGCTGCTATTGCAGGGTGAATCATAGCTAGGGGCGGACCAGATTGAGGGAATTTCTAAGCAATTTTGATCAGAATTATTCCATAACTGAAGAAATAAGCCGGCAGGCCTCTCTCCCAGGTCACCACTATCCTAACCCAGGTGGCAAGCCCCAGTACACAAAGGATATTCTCTTGTGAGTCTACAGTCCATTTTTGCCATTGTCAAGTGGCAATCTTGCCAATATTAGTAATATGCCAATATTAGAGAACATTTCACAAAATGGAATGATGGAGATCCTTTTCAAGAAAACATTTCTATTCCAGTCATGGAGCACATGCTTTTAGGTTCTCACTACTACTGTACTTTTTCTCTGACAAACGATGCTTGTGTGCTTTACTCTATTGATGATACTCCAATAGGACTGCTGGGAAACTCTTTAAATATATTATTAAACATATTCTACTCATCAAGTTTATTATATGAGCCAAGCCCAAATATTGATAATGCTAACTGTCCTTCAGAATGTGCATCAAAATCTGAAACATACATGAATAGAAAACTGTAAAGAGGTATAATTATTCCTCTCTACATTCTTTTGCATGTGTATTAACCTGTTATCTCCTAGGTGTGAGATCTTGAATAAGTTATTTATATCCTGGTATCTTTATTTTTCTCAGTTGTGTAGTGGGGACCATATCAAGAAAGTGTAATTAACGATTGAGGGATCTAATTCACTTAAGAAACTTGTATAGTATAGTAAATATTAACCATA